AATATAAAATTTACAGTGCATAATAAATGAGGGTTAAAACATGTTTTTTTTTTTTTGGGCTAAATTAAAAAAACATTCTTAATTTTGGGGTTTAGGGTTGTTAATATTAAATTAATATAAAATATATTTATAATGTCTCATTATTTTATATAGCTAAGTATGAGGTTTAATTATTTTGGAGAAAGAAGCATTGAATATTACTACTGGACATGGCTGAATATTTTATTGAAGAGAAATGAATGGTTATTAAATATAATTTAATGATTAATAAATGTTATAGAAAAATACGATAAAATAAATGGGAAACAATGGGAGCGCTCAGGACACGAAGTGGGTGACAAGGGCTGTGGGACCGCCTCGGTGTCCTAAATTCCGGTGGCTGTCCTTAAAACGAGGGCAATCTTGAGCCTCCAATTTTCAAACTACTTTTTTTTAGGAAATTAAAAAAAAAAAAGCTGACGTGGAAAATGGGGCCCACGGGTTTCTCCCCAAATGAACCATCGAAGTTGAACCCTGTTTAATCTTATCCAAATTACGAATTTCACTATTGGTCAATCAACTTTGATTGTGCTGACATGTCACGATCGTCTCTCGGTGTAACTTGTAGCTGCATGCTCGTGTCATGTCAAAAAAGTTTCTGTTCTGTATGTAACATTTCGACAAAATTATGTCTACTTCGATCTGTTATGAAATGTCTTTAAATGTAATATAGAGAAGATGTGACTAGTGGTGAATTATTAATATTTAAAATTGAAAAATAATTAAAAATGAGAAATAAAATGACTTTTTTGTTTGTTTTTTTTTTGGTAAAAAAATAAAATAAAATGATGGGTAAATAAAGAGGAGAGAGTGGAATAATCAAAGGAGTGAATTGCGCGGCTTAGAATGATGAATAAAATATGAAATTAAAATATTGGGACACTGGGGCCCACATGTAATGACCCTAACACACGAACATACTGTGAACACCAAGTGGGCCCTCTACTTCAATCTTTGGGCTTACGTGGGCCTCGTCCGTTTAATGGGCTACAGCTTTCAGAACCCACGGTGTACTCTACTTCCATCTACGCGCGTGTAATACAATCGCTTCCTATTATATTTTTTACAAGTTTTTTTTTTTTTTAAATAATTTATTTTTTACAGGATTATATCCAAAACATGATTTTTAAGGACAATAATGATTCCATTTTCCACCATCTTTTTAGAAACTAAAAAAAAATAAAAATACTTTAGTGTGTTTTTTGAGATGAAAAATGATGATTATTACTTTTACTCCAAAGTAAGAAATGTATATATAATAAAGATACCCAACCAAATCATGAATTACCAAAAAGCTTGTATTATTGAGGGAGAGCCCTTTTTGAGGCATAAATTTTGGCTTTGGGATTGTGACCCACAAATAATATATATTTATATATATATATATATATATATATATATATATATATATAGTTGTATACATAGAATGTCTCAAGTAAAAATTGATTTATTATTAATAAACATGTAAAGTAAAGTATATGTAGGGTTAAAATTATTTGATTGGACTTATTACATAATTTATGTATTTTTATGTAGTGAATTATTGTTTCACAAGCGAGTAATTGTTACAAATAATTCAATCTATGTTCCCTCACTCGTCGTTCTCTTTTAATCATTAATTATATATATATATATATATAATTTTTATTGTGGACGTGAATTCTTATTTTTTTTATCTAAAAAAAATGTGAAAAAAAAAACAAAAGAAGAAGGTAAATATGCTTTTTTGAGTAAGAGATAAAAGGAAAGAAGAAAATGATTAGGATTTAGGAGTAAGAGAAAGGAGACGAGATTGGATTGAGCGTTTGGTGAATTGGAAAAGGCACCGAAAGATCTCTATCAAATATATAATTAAAACATGAAATTGTTGAAATAATTATAGATATATAATTAAAAATATATATTTTATTAGAATGAGATTTTGTTAAAAAAAAAATAATAAATTGAGCGAAAAAAAGTGATATGACTTTTAATTATTTTAAGTTTTTTTAGTCATTTTATCTTCATGATCGTTTATGTGTTCTTCTTTTATTCGGGTATCACATTAATTTTAATTAAAATATTTGGGCCCACAATTGACGGTTTTTAATTTTAAAAAAGAAAACATTTATTTTAAAATTTGGAGTTGGGGAATTGAGGTTGAATTAGGTATGGTTTTATGTAAAATAGGTAGAGGTAGGATTTGAATGTTATGGTGACCCACAACAACATATGTTTTCTAATTTCTAAATCAATTTATTGCACTTTTTAACCAATATTTTTACCAATTCTCCTTTTTCTCCCCATTCTTTTTTTTTTTTTTTCTTCACCTCTTTTTAGTTTTTACCTTTGCAATTCACCTTTTCATATCAAATACTTACCACAGGTGAAAACTACAATGAAAAATATACAAAAAGATTTGGGTAATGTTGTGAATTATTACAAATTGCAACCCCACAAAAAGAGTAGTGGGCCAGTGGCCCAAGTTCTGAGTTGGGCCGTGTAGGGCCGATATTCAAGCCCAATAAGAGGCCCACCCATTGTGTAATATTAATTTTTTATTTAAAAAAAAAAAGTTAATTTGATTTGAAATTGAATATTGTTCCATTTTAGTTAGATACCGTCAAATATTCAAACTGAATTATTGTAATTTTAAAAAAAGTCAAAGCTTTCATAAACAGTTAAATTAAAACTAAAAAATACTAATTTTAAAATAGAAAATAAAAAAATAAAAAAATAAAAAAATCCAAGTCTTATTACATAAAATATATGGGGTTTTTTTATCTTTTTTTTTTTTTAATTTTTAATTTAAAAAAAGATTATAAAAATAAATAAATAAATAAATAGAAAATTGGAAATGGGTTCTTTTTGGTTGGAAAGGGAAGATCACAAGGCTACAATGGGCAAACCTCCATGTCTTCACCGTTCCCGTTTCCCCACCACAACTAAACTCCTCGCTCTCTGGACTTTCATTTTTCTCGCTCTCTTCCTCTTCCTCTTCCCTCGATCCTCCTCCGATCCCACCCGCCGCCTTCTCCAGGCGGGTCCCGTCTGGGAGAATCGGATCCGTCTATCAGCCCGCTCCCACTCCCATTCTCGCCGAGTTTTGGTCACCGGTGCTGCCGGCTTCGTTGGCCTTCATGTCTCACTGGCACTCAAGCGCCGCGGCGATGGAGTTCTCGGCATTGATAATTTCAATTCCTATTATGAATCTTCTCTCAAACGCTCACGCGCCGCCTTACTCGACCGTGCCGAAGTGTTTGTCGTCGAGGGTGATGTCAATGACGGTACTCTGCTGAAGAAGCTTTTCGAATTGGTTAAATTCACTCACGTAATGCACCTCGCGGCTCAAGCGGGCGTTCGTTATGCGATGCAAAACCCCAGTTCGTATGTGCAAAGTAATATTGCGGGATTGGTGAGTGTTCTCGAGGTTTGTAAATCGGCTAATCCGCAGCCGGCCATTGTTTGGGCGTCTTCTAGTTCGGTGTACGGTCTTAATTCTCAAGTGCCCTTTTCGGAGAAGGATCGTACGGATCAACCCGCGAGTTTATATGCTGCAACTAAGAAGGCTGGTGAGGAAATTGCACATACTTATAATCACATTTATGGGCTTTCGATTACTGGATTGAGATTCTTTACAGTTTATGGACCTTGGGGACGACCGGATATGGCGTATTTCTTTTTCACTCAGGATATTCTGAAGGGGAAAACGATTAAGGTTTTTGAAGGGGCGGATCAGAAATCTGTGGCTAGGGATTTTACTTACATTGAAGATATTGTGAAGGGTTGTTTGGGTGCGTTAGATACGGCGGAGAGGAGCACTGGGAGCGGCGGAAAGAAGAGGAGGAAGGCTCAATTGCGGGTGTTCAATCTTGGGAATACTTCTCCGGTGGGTGTGAATGAACTTGTGAACATTTTGGAGAAGTTGCTGGACAAGAAGGCTAGGAGGAAGGTGTTTCCAATGCCAAGAAATGGTGACGTTCCTTTCACTCATGCTAATATCACTCTGGCACAGAAGGAGCTCGGTTACAAGCCCACCACCAATTTGGAGACAGGTTTGAAGGAGTTTGTGAATTGGTATCGTCTTTATTATTCCAAATCTGGTATGAACATTGTTTTGTAGGCTGAGTTATTTTGAGATTTGTTCTTCAGTTCTAACTAAATTGTTGCTTTCTCACATTTGTTCTTCAGTTGTAGAACAATTGTGTATTGATTTGGTTTCTGGTTTGAGTTTTTGGGGAACAACAATTTTCACTAGAAAAAACTTAGAATTTTAACATTTCATCTTGGGGTTCTTTTCAATCATTTCTCTGTTGATTAGTCTAAGAGCTGTAAATTCTTCTCAGGATCAAGACATTTTGATCAATTATTTATTTATTTGACAACATCTATGATGCAGCTTCATGAATTCTTATCATGAGAAGAGCCATCTCTGTTTGATTACTGCAAAATGGACTTGTTCTTGTAAGGGATCTTAATAATCCTTGAAGTGGGTGCATTTTCTAAGACGATGCAAAGATTGATAGCATGTTTAAGTAATTTAATGACATTAAGAGGAAATGTGGTTTTGGTAAATGAAATCAAGGCCTGTGATCAGAGCTTGTAGAGAAGGATGATTGTAACACATTTATGAGGTCGTTTTTGGGACTGTTCTGGTTGAATATTGAAGAGCATTTGCTAGAGGAGAGAATATTGAAGATCTATAGAATGACACTATTGAAAAGCATATGGCAAACCCTAATTCGAGAGCATGCATTGTAAGCGACCTCGAATAGATACAAACATTTCTATGTTTCAACTAGTTGAATTGATTGAATTGACTTATATTATGTGTTTAGTGTTGCATAGATTGATACTCTCGAGAAGGTTCAATGGGGTTGATTTAAAATGTCTAGTGGTATCATAACTTTAATAAACATGTTTTTTCGTTATGTTTGACTGTAAAACAATTGAATGAGCTTTAGAAGTTTAGATACAAAAACTGCAAAACATACTGAAATTAGCATAATTATAACGCAAGAAAATAGGCAGGAATAGAAAAGTCATTAATTGCAACAAGTAATGGGAAGAACTATGGCATTTAAGCCCCACACACTGGACAGGTATGCTCCAAACCCAAAAAGTAAACGACTGTCTAATGAGACTATAAATAAGCAAAACATGAAAAGAATTCATTGATCGGCAATGGTGACCTCAACCTCCACACCAGGTTCGATGGTGATGGAGGTAATCTGCTTCACTACATCAGCAGAGCTGAATAGGTCGATAACTCGCTTGTGGACACGAAGCTCGAATCTGTCCCATGTGTTGGTACCTGCAATTACAAAACAAATGAATGAATGAATTCGATAACAACGGGATGCATTCAAAGTTGTAATCTTACAAGTTTTATAAGGATGAAATCAAGTTTAGAAACTTATAGATAAATGGTTACGTACCTTCACCACATGGAGATTTTCTGGTTGTGATGTGAAGAACCTTAGTGGGCATTCTTACTGGCCCTTTGACCCTCAACCTCTTGTCCTTGGCACCACGAACCAAGTCGGCACAAACTATGGATTTAAACAGATATCAAACTCATCGCCAAAAACGCATTTCAATGAAACACCTCCGAAAAATAAAATTCCACTAGTGGAAAAGCCAATAATGAACTCGAAGCCTAAAAAGTGAGGATTAAACAACACCATAACAAACATCAAGCGAAAAAGACCACAATCCTAAGAAGTTATTTGATAATTCCTGAACTAAAACTCATCCGTCAATACACTCAATACATAATGGAGATTCCCCGTTCCTTTTATCCAACAATAATGTCACTCTACAATTGTTCACGTCTTAATAAGCTTAGAACTTATTAATAATCAGAGCATTGAAAGAATTACGAAGTAATCATCCAACTCAAATGCCTATAAAAGTTAAATCATAACAAGTGATATGATGATGCAATATCGTTCGAGGAGACACATTCACTAAATTATAAAAGAAGAAAACAGTAACAAGAATAACAACGCAGCATATTGAAAATTAAAAAAAGGAGAAGATACCCTTCTCAAGGTTCTTGACATTTTTTGAGGAGAGAGTAATCCTGATCTTATGGATTTGCTCTTGCGTATCTTCTAAGCCTGGCTTAGTTGGTTTCATTGCTGCGTACGCCATTCTTCCTGTTATCCGAAGAGGAATCTGTCGAACGAACCCAACAATGTTTTCTCAACCACATAAATCGAATAATCAGACATGGAAATAGATTCAATAACTCAATTACACATTCAGAAATCTCATCAAAACGAAGCACAAATTATGTTTAAAAACTCTCCAATACAAGATGATGAAGATAAGAATAAAAACTGCAAAGTTCAAAAGCGAAACCTGGGATGGCGGGAAAGAAGTTGAACTCTACGATTCAGTATCCAGTTTCAGCTGCCTCTCTCTGAAAGAAGGAAAACTGAAGCGACAATGCTACAATTTATATCATTCTGTAGCGATTATTAGGGTTTACGGTAGATCTCAAAGTGGGCTGGGCGGGTCGGGTTCATCATTCGGAATTCCAGGCCCACTAAAGTTGGACCCAATTGTTTTTTCTTTTTTGAGATGAAGCCCATTGGGTCAATGTAAGTCCAGTTCCCCCCAGAATATTTCACATAAGCCCTTTCATTAAATGTAATTTACAACGTGGTCCTCAAACAATTGATTCTCTTTCAGTTTGGCTGAGACAACATTGGAGAACTCCAGAAGCTTTGCAGTGTCGGGCAACAGATCTTTCACAGCGTGATGTGCAGAGAATCTCTGAGACCATCCGTCGAGCCCTGGCGTCTTCCCTGCGTCCATCAATTTCATCCCATTTGATATCTCCGCCACTCTAATCCACCCCAGAAACGACCCAAAAGCGATATCAACAAACCCAATATGGTCTCCGCCGAAGAACGCCTTCCCTCTGCTCAGCGTCCCGAAAGCTTCCTCCAATAACCCTATCGCTTCCACCCCTTGATTTATAAGCCCCTTCTTCACTTCCCCTTCTGCACCCATACTCGCTTTCATTGGCTCGTAGAACTGGGTCCATTTAAAAAAACCCAAATTAACAAACCCAGCAATTAAACTTAAATTTGAACAAAATGAGTGATTAATTAAGGGGATTTTGTTACCTTTTCGTCGACGACGGAGCCCCAGAATCGAGCGAGGGCGCGATCGTAAGGAGCGGAGGGCCAGAAATCATCGATATACTCAACGATGATGGAGGATTCGGCGATGGGTTTGCCGGCATGAATGAGAACAGGGATCTTCTTGAGAGCAGGGTTGGATTGGAGAAGAAGCGGGCTTTTGGATCCGAATGTTTCTTGAATGAACTCGTAGTGTACGGATTTGATGTTGAGGGCGATTCTGGGCCTCATCACGAATGGACTAGTCCAGAAACCCACAAGCTGCACGTCCTGATCTCTTGCCATTGTTAGAGAGGACAGAGGAATTAGATGTGGTTTTGTTTTGGATGATGGGAGTTCAAATTTATAGGTGGCCGTCGAGAGGGGAGTTAATTCTTCGTTTAAAAAAAAAATCTGAAATTGCAAAAATAGTATGCACCAGCCGGGAATCGAACCCGGGTCTGTACCGTGGCAGGGTACTATTCTACCACTAGACCACTGGTGCTTGATGGTATTTAAATATTTTTAAAATAATTAATATTTTAACAAGTATTTCATCGTGTAGTCAAACATTGTAACTTTGTAAGCAAAGATAAAGTTGAAATAAATGTATAGGAGCATATAAATGAGATGGGGTTGGAATAAGTTAATAAAGAGGTGGGATCGACAAAATGCTACCAACATTGCCACCCAAAATAAAGAGCTTGAAGCAACTACGAAAGTACATATCAAATCAATGTCTTTTAGGGATGTACATTCAACTCGATAATCCAGACTAACTCAGCCTGAACTATAAGGATTGGGTTCATTTTTCTGAAAAACCTGAACTGAATGAGTTCGGTTTCAAGTTCGTAGTACTTTGGCCTGTCTATACTTTCACTCCCGAGTGGACTGGGCCAGGTCGGGTTCATCATTCGGAATTCCAGCCCACAAAATTCGGCCCCAATTGATTTTTCTTTTCTTTCTTGAGATGAGGCCTATTGGCTCTGTGTTAAGTCCAGTTTTCTTCCCCAAGAATATTTCACATGAGCCCTTTTATTAAATATAATTTATATAGCTCGTCTAAGCACCCTATTGCTAACAGATATTATTATCTGCTTTAGTATGTTACGTTTACTAGGTATCGTTGTAAGCCTTACGGTTTTAAAATGCGTCTAAGAGAAAGAGGTTTACAACCGATGTAGGATCTCACAATCCACGCAATTAGGGACCCAACATCCTCGCTTGCACACCCGTTATGTATCTCTGTCAGTCTCATAGTTTTAAAAACGCGTGTACTAGAGAGAGATTTCTAACCAATGTGGTATCTCACAATCCACCCCTTTGGAGGCCCAATGTCCTCGTTGGCACACTCGTTACGAATCTCCGTTAGTCTCATAGTTTTAAAAACACGTGTACTAGAGAAAGGTTTCCAACCGATGTGGATTCTCACAATCCACCCCTCTTAGGGCCCAGTGTCTATAATGGAGAGGTTTCAAATAGATGTGGGATCTCACAATCTACTCCCTTGGTGGCCCAATGTCTATTATGGAGAGTTTTCCAATCGATTGAGATCTCACAATTCACCCTCTTGTGTCCAATGTCTGCTTTGGAGAGGTTTTTCATCGATGTGAGATCTCACTATCCACCCTCTTCGAGCCAGTGTCTACTATGGAGAGGTTTTCAACCGATGTGAGATCTCACAATCCACCCGCTTGGGGACTAGCGTTCTCAATAGCACACCGCTCCGTGTCTGACTCTATACTATTTGTAACACCCAAGTCCACCGCTAGCACATATAATCGGCTTTAGTCCACTAACCAAATCTCAAAGCGTTTTTACTATTATTATTATTATTATTATTTTAAAATCCACTTAATAGTCTACCATTTTTGCAATAATATTAAACAAAATAAACATTTTTCAAGAATGAATATATAAAACAAACTTTTAAGTCGATTTCTCTTAATTTACTATTTAAATTTGATGGATGTTACCACACATCTCAATCAGATTCTAAAACATTACTTTAAAAAAAAAAAAAAAAAAAAAAACATGTTCTTCTCCAATTCCATGGTTATGGAAGAAGGTCAACAGAGAGAGAGAAAGTCAAGCTTGAATGACTTTTCGATGTGGGAGACTAACCCTAAAAACATGTTCTTCTCCAGTGCATTTATCCACCTTCACAACCCACTGCCTCCTCCTCCCATCGCCGGAGGATTTTGATATCTCCGCCGCCAATTTCATCACCATCACCCCTTTTCCAATCGGCAAAAGCTGCGTTCTCCATCCACCGGACCACCCTCCACATCTTTTCCTCATCGCGTTAAACCCCACCACCACGGTGGCGCGTTCGAACTTCCTTCTCGATCCAATGCCCTCGATGACAGCCACGTGGCTGTCCAGGTTACAGTCGATCAGAACAAAATCCGCCTCTCTGTAATGGGTTTGGAGAAGCTTCTCAGCTTCTCCGACCACGAACTCGATCGGGTAATGGGGTTCGAGCCCGAGAATTGCTCGCGATGGATGAAGGTCTTCCTGGCGTGGAATTATGCAGACCACTCGGCCGCCGGTCAGACCGCCCGCAGCGGCCAGGGCTAGAATCTTGTGGTCTGCCGATCTTTCGTATGCCACTACCATTAGCTGCGCGTTGTTTCCAGCAGCCATGGCCGATATGAACTCCGCGATGTCGGGTTCATTAGCTTTTTGGCACTGAAACATATCAAGATTGTTAAACCACTACTAAATTCAAAAACTGGTTCCTAATTTTGTTTGTTCTTACCAATTTGAAGGCGTTGAGGAAGGCTTCAGTGGCATTCTCAGCAGACCAGCTACCCATTGATTTACTTTGTGGAAATATTCTGTTTTGAGGAGTTGCATGAAGGTTGGTTTATATAGACGCGAATTATTACCAAACATGTTAAAATAACTCGTATTGATTTACAGGTAATCTTTAAGAATATTTACTGGTTTTAGTAAATATTCACACTATTGATTTACCGAATAATCTTTACCTTCAAAATTACTTCAAGATAATGTCTTGTCTTTTAGGGACAAAATTAGTCCCACCCCATGTTAGCTGAGGCAGCAAGGGAACACAAATTGTCATTTTTCACGATGTAAAACACTCGCGGATAAGAGGATTTTAAGGTTAAATAATGTAAAGCTTTGTCCTAATGTTTATGGATTTGATGTCCTCTTTTTGTACGGGTTGTGACGACATTAGTATAAATTTGGAGATGATTTGGATAATTGAATAATGTTAGTATGATGAGCGTTTATATTAACAAGATTGACACAGTTGATTTGTTCATAATGATAAACAGTTTGGAGTGGTATCTCTTTTAAGTTTTTTGTGGGCATTGAATGAAGAAGGGATGCCCCATGTTTGATATTATGGGCAGTGGGTGGTTGGAAGATGGTGCATATGCAGCAGCCATGAAGGAATGGATAAGCATTGTTGGATCAAATTTTGTTGGGATTCCTTGAATTTGTGTAAGAAAATGAGAGTGGAAAGCGATGGGAAATGGGAGATGAACATGAACATGAACATGAACATGAACAAGAACAAGGTGTGGGTCTTTCCGGATTTTTCTGTTTTTGGATAATAATTTCACTTGAAGACATGCCTCTATCTAATTGTAACACTACACATTTGGAATTCAATGCAACTTTCCTTCTTAACCCCAAACAGATAGGTTTGTTGTTCCATTAATTCACTAGTTGAAATGTACTCAGATAATGAGATTAAACTTTCTAACTCCTTTACTTCTTTCTATTTATTTGATTGAATTTATGATGAAGATTATCTCAAGAAAAAATATCTATTTGAAATTTGAATCACTCCACAAATAAGATAGATCATGTCAAGCTTAAATGATTCTAAACATGCAATCTAAACTACAGGAACCAAAGGAAAGACATTTGGCATTAATGGTAAGAAATTACTATTAGAAGTTAAAGTAAAATTTGAATTGTTTTGTTGACAAAATATCTCAAAACAAAGACATTTGTTTGAGATTCGAATGACTCCATAAATAAGATTAATCATGTCAAGCTTGAACGATTCTTAATATGGAATCTAAACTAGATATAATTGCAAATAAGAAAGTAAAAATGCTCTCTTTACTACCTTTTCCCATCTCATTTACAAATACTCAATATATGACTTTAAATCTATTAAACATTTCAAAAGTTGTAATATTCATATTTTATTATCATAATTAAGGATAATTAAGGATGATGTAAATGTAGTAAATGAAAGTAAAAAAAAACATCATAACTTTAGATTATCATTCATCCAGAATTTGTCACCATTCAAGAATAAATAAAGCTTGATTATTTTTTAACGTGACATGAATTGTAACATCTTATAATATATTTTTACATCTTCCTCAAATTTTATCTTACTTTTTTTTTTTTACGAGCTTGGGTGAAAAATAAATATATCACAGATGAAATTAAAAATTGAAAAATGCTAATAAAAAAATACTTGACCTAAAATTATATATTTGAACAAAGAAAAAAGAAAAAGAAAAAGGAAAATAGGTCGGTGCTTATGTCATCTTTTCACATGTATCATGCATGACCATAGGATGATTTGGCTTTAGACCAAACCGATGATTGTTGAGACATGCAAGAAATACCACATTTGCAACGGACCATTGCTTTTTAAAAAATATAGGTGTTTGGGGACACGTGGCATCCATTCAAACCCCAACCTGCCCTTCCTTATCTTCATTTATGGAAAACTGTTAGAAAATGATGTGTTCTAAATCATCAATTCTTGCAGCTACCCTCTAAGACCCCACCGTCCATAACTTTTAATCTTTCAAGCCTCAAATTTTAGCAATTAAAAGGGCTAAACTAAGCTATAATCATGTAATTGCACTCCATAATTCATAATTTAACCTTAATTTTCATTATTATTATTATTCATCATAATCTCTAGCTTAAGAAACGCTACAGATGAAAGAAGCTCAATGCTTTTCTTTAAGTTTGGCTGCCAGAAGCTTGGAGAACTCCAGAAGCTTTGCAGTGTCGGGCAACACATCTTTCACAGCGTCGTGGGCAGAGAATCTCTGAGCCCATCCGTCCAGCCCTGGCGTCTTCGCTGCGTCTATCAATTTCATCCCATTTGATATCTCCGCCACTCTAATCCACCCCAGAAACGACCCGAAAGCGATATCAACAAACCCAATATGGTCTCCGCCGAAGAACGCCTTCCCTCTGCTCAGAGTCCCGAAAGCTTCCTCCAATAACCCTATGGCTTCCACCGCTTGATTCATAAGCCCCTTCTTCGCCTCCCCTTCTGCACCCATACTGGCTTTCATTGGTGTGAAAAACTGAGTCCAATTAACAAACCCATCAATCGAACTTAAATTTGAACCAAAATCAGTGATTGTGATTAATTTAAGGGGATTTTGTTACCTTTTGGTCAACGACGGAAGCCCAGAATCGAGCAAGGGCGCGATCGTAAGGGTCGGAGGGAAGGATGGAGGGAGCGGAGGACCAGAATTCATCGATATACTCAACGATGATGGAGGATTCGGCGATGGGTTTGCCGGCGTGAATGAGAACAGGGATCTTCTTGTGAACAGGGTTGGATTGGAGAAGAAGCGGGCTTTTGGATCCGAATGTTTCTTGAATGAAGTCGTAGTGTACGGATTTGATGTTGAGGGCGATTCTTGGCCTCATCACGAATGGACTAGTCCAGGAACCCACAAGCTTCACGTCTTCATCTTTCGCCATTGTTAGAGCGGACAGAGGAATTAGATGTGGTTTTGTTTTGGGTGATGGGCGTTCAAATTTATAGGTGGGCGTGGAGGGGGAGGCGCTACTCTTTACCCACTTTGGTAACCTTTTTTTTCACTTTTCTTTTTGTTCTTTTTTCTTTTTGTTCTTTTTTCTTTTTGTTCTTTTTTGAAGCTGAAATTGCGTGACACAACCAAAATAATATGTACTATTTTACCAACCACAATAATATGGTACTATTCTACCAACCACTAGAGCAACTACAAAAAACATACCAAATAGTGTTAGTTTCCCAAGTAAAGAGCAACGACAAAAAACATACCAAATAGTGTTAGTTTCCCAAGTAAAGAGCAACTACAAAAAACATACCAAATAAATTTCTTTTACCTCTTTGTTTTTTGTTTTTTACCTCGATTGTTATAATGGAAGGAAATCTTGGTAAGTGACAACCAGCGGGTCACCTTTCCAAGACTGAAAAAGAGGAATACCTCAATAAGGGAAAACATAACATAATGCAAATAGCCTTCATTACTCTAAAATCACTACTAAGTGGAGCCCAACAACGAGATTGATAATTGAGATGATAAATCCATTTATAGCATAAATGGGATATAACATAAACCGGAAGTAAAACCAAAAGGAAGAAAGCCAAAAAATGAAAGAATTTATAGAAAAGGAAGCTTCCAGATTAGATTTATCCCTCCCACTTGTATTATATACTATTTACAGATTTGAACCAAAACTTGAAGATCTTCTTCTTCTTCTTCTTCTTCTTCTTCTTCTTCTTCTTCTTCTTGTGCTCAAATTTGGATAAATATGAATCATCTCATGTTGCAGCACTGTGGCCTTCTTTGATGCACCAACTTCTCCCACAAGCACACCATCTGTCTAGGAGACTGGTAATGAGAAGTTAAGTAATCTTCAATGCACCCGAACTGGCAAAACCTTAGACTGTGATGATATACAACTGGTTTCGTACTGTTGAACTGCTCCACCCACATTCCCATGCTCACATCTTCCATCTTGAACAACTGTGTTATTGTGCATTTCATAATATTAATTACCTCTTCTTTAATCATATGGAAGGGAAGGGAAGGGAAGGGAAGGGAAGGGAAGGGAAGGGAAGGGGAGGAGTTTGAATCAAACTTACCCTTAATCTGTGCTTCTCAAACTCGGATACGATATACTCTGCAATGTCCGATGACAGAATGTAACCCGGCCCATTTGCGTACGTTGGGTAATCTTCTTCTGGCCATTCCTGAACAGATCGAAACAAACATACCTAAATATGCAATTATGAACCAATTTATAGGCCCCCCATATGGTTGAGATGATGGTATTTAGAGAATGATGCGAAAGTGAACGACGAACAGGCTAATGAAATGATGGGACAAGGAAATTTTATCTCCAGATTTGATCAAGCATCACCACAGGAGGATTTATATAGATTATAAACATCCATTCACCAAGCAACTTTTGGTTGTTCGGGATGGAAAGCCCTTAACCTACCCGTGAACTTATCGTAAACAAATGCATACACAAACATGTTATGAAACGCAGCGAAAAAGGATTAACATAAACAGTCAAAGCCATAAGACATTAATTATCGTCATAGAAGCTCGATGAAAAACAGTATGCATTCTTACGGTCATACCTCGTAAGTCACTGCCCATTTTCCATGTCGAAGAGGTTTATGGTGAAAGTTCATGTTTCCAACATAAAGGCTCCCACCATCAGATTGGACTTCGTGAGCTTCATCAATCACTGCATCCACTCTAACAAATGTATCATCGTCACACTTCATGATATAGTTTGCAGCCACCGTGCGAACCTGCAAGATCAACGTGGAATCATATTTCCAACAACAAAGACTACTCAACTCGAAAGGTTTGTGTCATTTTCTCACAACTCACCCCATATTCACAGATTGCAATCGTCTTCAGCACAACGAGGTCATAGTTATCCATGTAAGGAACTATGACAATATCTCCAAAATACTCGGCCTCTTTCTTCAACTCGATATTTACTTCCTTTCTTCCGTGCTGTAAGAATGTAACATAGAATTTGTTGTCACTATTATGATACAAATGATGGAACGTTTCTGACAAGCACGTCGTTCCTTACCATTGCCACGAAGAACCTAGCAACAACTAGTGAAGATCTGATTAATCTATGTTGCATCCAAGACTTCCTAACAGCCATTCGCTCCGCAAAATGATTGCCAGCAGAAAGAACACCAATGAAAAGCTCCACGTTTTTCTTGGGAAGTGAAGGGGCTTTCCATTGTGTCGACATCTCAACATGCTTCTGTGGTGCAAAGCTAGGATGTGTAGCAGGTAAGGAAGCAGCAAATATGGAGTGCACGTCAATATCGCCATTTACAGACAACCCAGTGGCATCCTCCAGAACAAACCCCTGCCATCGCCATAAATCTAAGCTATCGACGCAGAGTACCAATTTAGATTTATAGAAGAACGAGTACTTACAGTGCGATATGGAAAAGAAGTGACATGCCTTCCATCAACATTGATATGGTAACCTTCCAACCCAGCACTCACAGTTAGGACAAATAGCCTGCCCTCCGCGAAAGGATATGGCCAATCGATCGCCACCTTTTTCGTGCGTCCTATTAGTCTATTTAACCACCATATTACCTTCGATTCTTCGGAATGGCTGTCGTCGTCACGAATCCATTTCTCACATTTTACCTGCCCGTCGACTTCATAACATCACAATGGTAAGTTAGGTAACATCTCTCATGAAGAAATTCAGGATTTACGCAAAACAAAGTAAGAACATGGAGAACTTGCTGGTAAAAGATTCAATGCATTCTATCAAAACAAAGCTAGTTCAGTTCAATACAGAATTCTAATCAATGGACAATACAAACACCATGAACAAGAGTTACCTGTTTCTTCATCCGCCCTGGCTTTCCATCCCTCACATCTCAGCGCTGTGCCCCATTGCATCCTATAACAAGTGTTCTGTTCGATAACAGGCTTGCCACTCCAATCTCCCTTCAACCTTGGATTGAAATGAAGAATTCTTGGTGGGTCTTCACCATCCACCGTCTTCAGCCCTTGCAACTCCATCATAAACTGTGAAACCATCACTGAATCATCCCCTTCCCTCAAGATTGAAATCTTGGGATCATCTTCCAAGTGAGCCCAACGAGGCGTCCCCACCACAGTGATATGCGACCAGAGCGTCAAGCCGCAGGGGAGCTCCAGAATCCGACTCTGTGCCTCAAATTCGGATCCAGAAAGCGTAATCGAATGTGGACAAGACTCCGACTGATTCTCTGTCTTCGTTTTGGGTTGGAGAACAATTTTGCCGGACTCTAAGTCCCCCCAAAGCTTTTTCCCCACTACCCAAGCATGTTTAACCGCTTTATGAAGCTCCGAGAACTCCCCCTTACTAGCATTACGATCAAATGTGCTTTCGTCGAAGACTAAACCCGAAACTTTCTTGAACTCACGCATTCGCCTCTCGGGTGTCCGATGCGGCGAGCCATGAGAAACCAGAAAGGTATCATCAGAGGGTCGACGAGGGGCGTCTTTATCAGCCATTTCCTCTTCACTTTCAAGCAGAAACGGCCTCGGCAAAGTGTCGCTGGTGAATCCAAATGTTCCATCATCAGGCACCGACCCATATCCGGTTCGATACACCAGCGGTATTTCAAAACTCATGAAAAGCAGATAGAAAAACACCAACCCCATAAGAAATTGAAGCAACCTAATTCGGTTTCGTGATACCATTGTATCCAATTTCCCCCTTTTCATCCTCCCCTTCTCGCCCCCAACGCAATGTAGAACAAAACCAGCACCACCCACCAAAAAACAGGTCAAGTACAGGGAAAAAAACAAGAAATCAGACGAGAGAAGAACAAAAAAAACGTAGGGGATTTTATGCAAACAGATTCCCCTCCAAACTAGAACACCTCGTTTCTACAATCAAGAATTCCGACGAACCCTAACCCTAGTACCAGTAAATGGAAATGAATTGAAGCTCTCTGGAAAACTGAGCTCGAAAACAACACAGAGACAGAAAAAGAGAGAACAAAAAGGAAAGAAGATGAAAACGACAGCGTGTTAGAGCTCACATGGCTTGATTTTCTGCGTGCTTTGCATTATCAACCTGTCACAAACGTGGTTTAATCCATTCATTACCTTCGTTGTTATTGCATCCGATTACGGGAACGAATTAAAACTAGATTCGAAAATTTTAAAAAGAAAAAAGAAAAAGAAAAAGAAAAAGAAAAGAGGCTTAAGTGGTGGTGGGAATGAACACCTCATCCCAGCACTGCACTCGGCCCTGGTGTTGGTGGTGCCCAACTTTGTTGCTCCTCTCTCTTAGGACGTGTTTGGTTATCCCCATTTTCATTTCTTATATTATTAGATTCTCTAACCCTTCAACTTCCCATTAATCTTTTATTCTTTTTATTTTATATTCATACTATCTTAACGATATGGTCTCTATGTCACGACGTCATTCCAAATTAAGGGTGTCGTCCATTATCACAGCTCACTCGGTCATGCCATCGAGAATAGACCCATGTATCGTTTATAACATTGAGACATCGAGACATTTTAAACATTCTTCCCTCCAAGTTCAATCGAGTCATTAATCCTCTCGTGTCCATACCATGTTATTTACAAATATCATACTGAATAGTGGGTTGAATTCAAACGACTCAAAATTTGTTGAATACAAGTTATTAAATATTTTTTATAGTTGAAATTTAAAAGTGGTTGGGCTTAAAAGGTAAAATTATGGATATAATTATTATACTATATAGTCGGTTGATGATTAATGGTTTATATTAAGGATTAAATGCTATGGACGGTGGTCTGAGAATTTAGAGGATATGTGGAAGAATTTATAACATCTGACCACGTCATATTCTGACAGGTTTCCATAAAGGAAGAAAAGGATGGGGCTGTTGGAGCTTGGATGAGTGACACGTGTCACCAACATGCAACCAATTTAAAGAATGGACGATCCAAAAATTGTCATAAAAGCACCCACAAAATCGAGGAACAAAATATATGCAGCTCCGTTTCTATATATAGAATTAGTTTTAGTTAAATTTATTTTCGAGATACTTTCGAATAAATTTATTATTTTTCAATTTTATTGATTATTTATTAAATTTTATTTATTTTTTATATGAAATAGAGAGGTATATGGGAGATTCAAAAACTTTCTATTCTCATTCCAATCGCCTATTTCATTTTCATCCTTCTAAATTTTTTTATCTTTTTTATGAGTTTAAAGCGGGTATTACTCATGAAAAATTTGCTGATATCATATTCGAGTGAGTAATTTTTACCGGTTTTTTTTTTAATTTTTTTATATAATCTTTATTTAAAAATCGTAAAAACAGTCCTAATAAATTGATAATCGACCTATATATAATATTCTACCAAAATCATTTCTAGAAATTCAAATTTTAATATTAAAACATAGTCTTTTAACTAATTTATTTTTTTAATATAACAAAAAAAAACATATATAAATGGACGCGAACGAGGATAAAGATGGGAGAATATAATCTTGTCCCTAACTCCATTTTATTTAACGCATAAAAAAATGTTTCATGGTCCCTCCTCATTCCCATCTAAACGAAGATCCTAGTTAGACGAGATTTTGTACTTCACTTGAGGTGGGACTGTACAAGACCCCGATCCTACAAGGTCTCGATAATAACGAAAGAGATTAGGAGAGCGAGAGAAGCAAGTAGTAGTTGAGTAGTAGTTGTGAAGTGAGCCATAATAAAAAAACAAAATGAAAGTTGAGGTGCAACAAAACAAACGGGGGAGCGACACGAACTAGAAACATTTGGTATCCAAATTCCATTGCTACTCTTAAAACAAGAAACCTTAATCCTTGGATACACCATTATTATTATTATTATTATTATTGTTTTGGCTTCACCCATTATCCCTTCTCTCTACATAATCACTTACTTCCTCTAATTCCACAATCAATGTTGAGAATTTGTTGTTATTCATGGCCGATTCAACCAATTTCCCAAGCATTGCAAAGTGCGGCTCTAGAGGCCGAGAAGCCCACACCCTGGTCGCCGACATGGATGGAACATTGCTTATAGGCCGCAGCTCCTTCCCTTATTTCGCTCTTATGGCCTTCGAACTCGGCGGCCTTTTCAGGCTTCTGGCCTTGCTTCTGGCCTCTCCCTTGGTGGGCTTGCTCTATTATTTTGTGTCCGAGTCTGCTGGCATTCAGATTATGATATTCGTGACCTTCTGTGGGGCCAAGGTTTCCGGTATTCACTCCGTGGCACGTGCGGTTCTTCCTAAGTTCTACTCCACCGACCTCCATCCTGACACGTGGCGGGTGTTCTCCGCGTGTGGGAAACGCTGCGTTTTGACTGCCAATCCGACGGTTATGGTGGAGCCGTTTCTTAAGGAGTTCTTGGGAGTTGATTTGGTGTTGGGGACAGAGATTGTTGCGACGGAAAGTGGACGGGCGACTGGGTTGGTCGGGCGGAAGGGTGTGTTGGTGGGGACCAACAAGGCCGACGCTCTTAACGTTCAATTCGGAGATGTTCCGCCGGAGATTGGACTCGGTGATCGCCTTACCGATGTTCCTTTCATGTCCTTGTGCAAGGTTTGTGTCATCGTTAACTAAGAATCGCTTTATTTTACACGAATTAAATTAAGCCTCCATTTTATTACATTTTGCAGGAGGCTTACATGGTGCCGCCGACTCCGGCGGTGGAGCCGGTGCCGAGCGACAAATTACCCAAGCCAGTCATCTTCCACGACGGCCGATTAGTTCACAAACCATCTCCCTTTTTAGCCCTTCTCACAATTCTCTGGTTTCCAATCGGCTTTCTTCTCGCTTGCCTGAGAATCGCCGCCGGCTCTCTCCTCCCAATGCCACTCGTCTACTACGCCTTCTTAGTACTCGGCGTACGCGTCACCGTCAAAGGCAACCCACCGCCGTCCCCCAATTCATCCGGCCGAAACTCCGGCGTCCTATTCGTCTGCTCCCACCGCACCCTCCTCGACCCAATTTTCCTTTCCACGGCCCTCCGTCGTCCCATTGCCGCTGTCACCTACTCTGTTTCCCGGCTGTCGGAGTTCATCTCTCCGATAAAAACCGTGAGGCTAACTCGAGACAGAGCCACAGACGCGGCCACCATCAAGAAGCTTCTAAAAGAGGGGGATTTGGCCATTTGTCCAGAGGGGACCACGTGCAGAGAGGCGTATCTACTGCGATTTTCGGCTCTGTTTGCAGAGTTGACGGACGAGGTAGTACCGGTGGCTATGGTGAACAAAATGAGCATGTTTCATGGGACTACGGCAAGGGGTTGGAAAGGAATGGACCCATTTTACTTTTTCATGAACCCAAGACCGGCGTATGAGGTCACATTTTTGGAGAAATTGCCGGTGGAATTGAGTCGGAGTTCGGGTAAATCGAGCCATGAGGTTGCTAATTACATTCAGCGGCGGATTGCGGCGGCGCTCTCTTATGAATGCACTGGTTTTACTAGAAAGGATAAGTATCGAGCTCTTGCTGGGAACGATGGGATGGTTGAAGAAAATAAAAAGACTTCCCTTAAAGCTAATAAGATCATGGGATGCTAAGAAGCACAACTTCAATCGTTTATATAAGCATAGTAATATTAATTTTCATACATGAATCAAACTCAGGTTAACATTATACATGAATCAACACGATTCATAAGCATAGTAATATTAATTTTCATACATGAATCAAACTCAGGTTAACATTATACATGATTCATATACCAATATAAGATAATACACCGATATCGAAGATGAACTAAATGAAAATATATTAATTTCAACAAAAATTTAATAAAATTGAAAGTGGAAGTTTAAAATTTGCATATATTTTAAGTTTCTGACAGATAAGGCAAAGTAATTTAATCCAATGAAACTCAGAAAACAAGATGGAAGCCTTATAATATTCGACACACCAAATTTAAGAAAGAAATAAATAAAAAATTCTGTAACGTTCAGATTTTCAAACACATGGGTTCTTTTGTTGACCGAGTAGAAACAGCTTTTTCGAGGTTGGTGGGTTGAAGTGGGGCAAATCAAAATCATGTCTTTTGCAGCTCACTGACACATTCTTCCATCAACATTTACTCCAAAAGAATACAAACTTCACCACTTTGATTTGAAACTGTTCGTTCTTGAAACACTAAAAAGACAAACTGTTCTGTTAATCACACAGCAATGGCTATCAAATCTTGGGATGGAAGGAACAAAAACAGAGCTACCTAGGAGTTTCAGAATTGCTCTGTTTCAGAAAGAGCAAGAAATTAAGTATTTGGACGTTTATTGGATTAGTCAAACCATTGAATTATTACTTTAATCATCATGAACGAGAAATCTGTGGGTTAATTAATATAAAGAGAATTGATGAGAGACAAAAAAGATGAAAAGCCAAAAGCGAAACGTTTACGGAGATACCATTTTTGTTCGTGCCCTTTGGCCATATTATAATGAGCCATAGAACTTCTGTGTACTACGAAATCAAAATGGATCGGCTTCTGCTACAATGGGTTGTTCTTATGATCTCCATTACCACACTCTGTCAAGCTTGCCACCCTGCAGATTTCAAGGGTCTAACCAGTTTCAAGTCTGCGATTTCCCACGACACTTCCGGCAGGCTTGCCAAGTGGGTCGGCCGGAACTGTTGCGGTTGGGACGGCATCTCTTGCCACAACGCCACTGGCAGAGTCAAGGAGATCAATTTGCCAGGCTTCATATCCACTGGCGATATC